TTCTGTGGGATTTCTCCCCCAGTTTGGCTCCCAGTTGGGATTCCCCATATATGGGGTGCCCCTATAGGGGGGTGTGTCATTATGGGATGGGGATTGGGATGGGGAATGGAATGGGGATGGGAGACTGGGAATGGGAACGGATTTGGAATGGGATTTGGGATGGGGTTGGGGGGGCGATGGAACTGGAATGGGAAGGACTGGGATGGGAGATTGGGAATGGGGAATGGGGATGGGATTGGGTAGAGGGATTGGGATGGGAAATGGGGAATGGGTTGGGGATGGGGATGGGATTGGGATTGGGATGGGGAATAGAACCTAGGAGGGAGATTGGGGATGGGGAACGGATTTGGGATGGGATTGGGATGGGGAACGGATTTGGGATGGGATGGGGATGGGGTTGGGATGGGGAAGGGAATTGGGACGGGAACTGGGGAATGGGTTGGGGATGGGGATGGGATGGAAATGAGATGGGGAATAGAACCTAGGAGGGAGATTGGGAATGGGGAACGGATTTGGGATGGGATTGGGATGGGGAACGGAATTGGGATGGGAACTGGGGATGGGACGGGGATTGGGGATGGGATGGAAATGGAATGAGGGATCGGGGATGGGGAACGAAATTGGGGTTTGGGATGGGGAATGGAGCTGAGATGGGGAATTTGGGATGGAACTGGGATGGGGAATGGAGCTGAGATGGGGAATTTGGGATGGAAATGGGATGGAAATGGGATGGGGAATGGAACAGATGAGGGACTGGGGTCAGGGAATGGGATGGGATGAAACCCCCCACGTTTTGTGCCCAGCGACGCCAAATTTCTCCACGTCAGCCCTGCAGGACCACCAAACCAGGGCCGCGGAGGGGTCCGCCCGCGTCGCACCGATGTCACACATCGCATTGATGAGCCACCATTAATCTATTAATTCCACCTCCTCATTAAGGCGGCCTGAGAAGCGTGAAGGTGAACTCTGAGAGAGGGGAGAAACGCCGCCGGTCTGGGCTGGAAGCGAGGAGAATCGTTTCGTTTTCCTGTTAAAATTAGAATTTTGGGGGCTGGAAGGAGGCGATGATCTCCCAGGTCCCTCCCACCCAACCACTGTAGGATCCCATGGATTTATGATGTTTAGGGTTCCTCCAACCCAACCCCTGTAGGACCCCATGGATCTTTAGGGTTCCTCCAACCCAACCGCTGTGGGATCCCACAGTTCTATGATCTTTGGGGCTTCTTCCAACCCAATCATTGTAGGATCCCACGGATTTATGATGTTTAGGGTTCCTCCAACCCAACTGCTGTAGGATCCCATGGTTCTATGATCATTAGGGACGCTCCCAACCCAACCGCTGTAGGATCCCATGGTTCAACCATCTTTGGGGCTTCTTCCAACCCAACCTTTTGAAGATTCCATGATCTTACGACTTTTAGGGCCCATCCCAATCCAAACATTGTGGGATTTCATGGTTTTAGGGTCTCGAAGGCCTCTTCCAGCCCAAGTGTTGGTTCTGTGATCCTTAGGGTTCCTCCAACCCAACTGCTGTAGGATCCCACGCTTCCAGAATCATCACAGACTCTCCCAACCCAACCATTGTAGGATCCCATGGATCTTTAGTGTTCCTCCAACCCAACCGTTGTAGGATCTCACAGTTCTCTGCTCATTAGGGCTTCTTCCAACCCAACCACTGTAGGGTCCCATGGTTCTATGATCTTTAGGGCTTCTTCCAACCCAACCTTTTGAGGATTTCATGAGCTGAGGATCTCAAAGGCCCACCCCAACCCAACAATTGTAGGATCCCGTGGATCTATGACCCTTAGGATTCCTCCAAGCCAACTATTGTAGGATCTCACGGTTCTATGATCATTAGGGACTCTCCCAACCCAACCACTGTAGGGTCCTATGATCTTTAGAGCCTCTTCCAACCCAACCGTTCCACAATTTTTGTGCCACCAAGGAGATGCAGAAGGGCCTCAACTCAGCCCTTCTCTCTCCTCCTGTTTTCCTCCCTGTTTTTCACCCCTCCTCCTCAGAAATGAGGAGCGGACCTACAAACAAAACTGACGGAACTTCCTGCCCTAAAAACGATGGAAACACCCAAATGTTTCCCCCAGGAGGTTCGTCGTCATTCCACTTCCAAAGCGACTTAATTAAGGAGATGATGATTTAACAGAGAGAGCGACAGACGACGACTTTCCCCTTTCGGCTTAATTACGAGCGCGAGTTGGAAGAGCGACGGAAAATAGAGTGGCAAAGATTCCCTTTCACACAACGGATGCCCCGGAGATATTTCCTTTGCTCTTTTATCATCAGAGCTGGGATCATCTCGTATTTTTAGCCTAATTGCTGCAGCTTAATTTGGATAATAGTTGATAATAGCGGCTTACGCAAAGCGGCGAGTGTAGAAACGACGGGGAGAAGGAAAATCAGGAAGAAAAATCGGCGTAAAAAAGTGAAATCAAGCAGAAAACTCCCAAATAATAATGAGAAGGGGATGGAGGGAGCTTTGGGATGGGAAATGTGTGGTGTTCACATAGGGGTGGGAATTCGTCAAAAAAAAAGAATTGATTTCGCTTTCGGGAAATGAAAATTATTCCCCTTATTTGGGATGATGGAAAACTCTTTTTCTAAAGAGGGTATTTGTGCCATAAGTGGAAAAATGTCCCCAAATCTGTTGGAAACAAGTAAAGGAAATTGAAGTTTGGGGCTCTCTGCGACAGAAAGGGGAAAAAGTCCCAGATTTGTTGGAAATACGGAAGGGAGATTGATTGGGGAACGAAGTTGGGTTTTGGGGAACGATCCTTTGGGTTTTTGGGGAGCAAAGCATTGGATTTAGGGAAACATTGGGTTCAAAAGAATAAACGGCTGTTTATTTGGGGGGAACGATCCGTTCGGTTTAGGGGAACAAAGAGTTTTTGGGGAACGATCCATTGAGTTTAGAATTATCCACTGTTTTGGGGGAACAAAGCTTCGAGTTTTGGGGAACAATCCATTGGATTTTTGTGGAACAAAGTGCTGAGTTTTGGGAAATTAAGCACTGGGATTTGGGGAACGATTCAGTGGGTTCAGAATTTGGGTTTTTTGGGTGCGATCCATTGGGTTCTGGGGAATGAAGATTTTGGGGGAACAACCCATTGGGTTCAAAATTATCTATTTTTCGGGGGGAGAACCAAACCATTTTTAGGCAATGAAACACCGGGGTTTGGGGTACAACCCACTGGATTTAGAAGCATCCATTGTTTTTCGGGTACAATCCACAGGGTTTTGGGGAATTAAAAGCTTTGGGGAACGATCCATCAGGTTTTTGGGGAATGAAGCATTGGGTTTTCAGGGGTCGAAACCATTTTTGGCCTTTTTTCCCCCAAACTCCCACAGACATTTCCATGGGGCTGCGACAACGAGGAGACATCGCTCCTCCCGTCCCCTTTTGCAGCACTATTTTTTTTGGCTGAACAATTCCTTTTTCGCCTTAAAACGAGAAGAAAAACCCTCAAGCCCTCCCCGCCCTCAATCCCAATTAACAGCGCGCGCTGACGAGCCCTCAAGAGCCACATCCCCCCCCCCCAATTAGCGGGGCCGTGCTAATGAAGTCGGACAGCACCGTTTTTTCGCACTCCCTCGTCAAATTAAATGACAAATCCCATTCCTGATGACCCCTCCCGGCCCCAGATCCTATTTGGAGACAGCTGTGCTGCATCCCCATGGGAGAGAAGATGGTGGTATGGTGGTACTTTGTATTTTTAAGGCTATTTTGTGAATTCCTTGAATTGTGGTCAAAATGTTTTGGTGGCTGTACGGGGCCCTTGGCTGCTCTATAGGACCCCTGAATACCCTATAGAGCCCTTAGAAGCTCTGTTGGTCCTCTGCATGACCTATAGGGTCCTTGGGTGCTCTACAGGACTCCTGAGTGCTCTATAGGGCCCTTGGGTCCTCTATAGATCCTTGAGTGCTCCATGGGGCCCCTGGAGGCTCTATAGGGCCCTTGGGTGACCTATGGGGCCTTACAGTGCTCTACGGGACCCCTGGAGGCTCTATAGGTCCCTTGGGTGTCCTGTAGGACCCTTGGAGGCCCTATAGGGTCCTCAAGTGCCCTTCGAGACCTTTAAGTTCCCTGTGGGGACCCTGAGTGTTCTATACGGTCTCTGGGTACCATATAGGGCCCTTGGGTGCTCTATGGGCCCCCTGGGAGGACCATAAACATCTTGGGTGACCTATGGGGCCTTACAGTGCCCTATGGGACCCCTGGAGGCTCTGTAGGTCCCTTGGGTGTCCTGTAGGACCCTTGGAGGCTCTATAGGGTCCTCAAGTGCCCTTCGAGACCTTTAAGTTCCCTGTGGGGACCCTGAGTGTTCTATACGGTCTCTGGGTACCATATAGGGCCCTTGGGTGCTCTATGGGCCCCCTGGGAGGACCATAAAGATCTTGGGTGACCTATAGTGCCCTCGAGTGCTCTATAGGGCCTCAGAGGGTTCCGTAAGGCCCTTGAGTGCCCTATAGGCTTCCGAAAGCTGTATGGAACCCATGGTTGCTCTGTAGGGCCTCTGAGAGTCCTGTAGGACCCTCGGTTGCTCTATAGGGTTTTTGGAAGCTCTATGGGGTCACTGGTTGCCCTATGGCACTTCTGTTCATCCTATGGGGCTGCTAAGTTATATAGAGCCCTTGGAGGTTCTATGGGGCCTTTGGGTGCCCAAATCTGGGCAATTTTGGGGACCACCTGGGGCTCTTCCACTTGGGTCTGACCCAAGACCTCAAAACACACTTTCTGACCCCAAACCGCTGCTTTCTGACCCCAAAATGATGGATGTTTTTGGGTGCCGAATCCCACACGGTTAATGGAGATTTTTGAGGTTGTGAGGGGAAAAAAAAAAAAA